TAATATAATATAACTTAAAATACAGTTAGCCAGCAATTGAATTTGCTTGTTTACACCCTACAATGCAATGATGTGACTTTAAGAGGAAATAAAAATTAATGCATATGTAATGTCTTTAAAGAGAAAAACCTAGGGATTTGGAGCAAAAGTTCTGAGATAAATACCATGATAGTTTGTCAGAGAATTGTAGGCTATTGTGATCTGTGTCTGTTCTGATGTGTTTGAAAAGCTAGATGCAAGTTTGCAACTTAATGGTCAACAGCTGCTTATCTTCATAGAGGTGCTGTCTCTTCAGGCAGTGAAAGCTGTCTCTCAGTTAACTTGAATTTCAGATTCTGGTCTTTGGTGCATAATCTGAACAGTCACGTTAAGGTTGTGCTGCATTGGCCTTTTTCTAAGTATCTCTGAGATGTCATTTCTGCAAGGTGAAGGAGCCTCTACTGATTCTGATTAATTAACACTTGAGATTTTGATAGCTGTTTGTCTTGTTAGCATAAGACATTGAAGTGAAAGATGTCAGTCATTGCAGTCAGTAAGTAAAGCATAAAGAATAGTTCCACTTTGGGAATAAGAAAATGAGCTTACTGTAGTGTTCACAGTGAACTCAAATAGTAAAACTTCCTTGTTTTGTGTTACAGCAGGCTTTCTGCTTTGTGTACTTAGTTTCTGGGTGCTTCAGGACAACCTTAAGACAATTAGTGTTACTTTGGAGACTTGCTTCCTTTTTAAACAAGTTAGTATTTTTTGTCAAGGCAGAGAGTGGCAAGTCAGATAATGTCATTTCTTTACCATCCTTAAAGGTGCTCCTTTTACTGAATTTATTTCTTCATTGTGTAGTTTGCTACAGTTCTGAAGACTTGTTTACTGCAGTTATTAAACACTGATTTCCTCTGAAGTAGTCATTACACTGAAACCTCATGTAAGGTAACTTCAAGCACCAACAACTAATAGACTGAAGGGAGTTCAGTCACTAATCCTGAGTGTTTGTGGAGTGCAGCTTTCAAATGAAAATCCCTCTGAAAATAATTGCCAACTGATTCTGAATCTTGAATGTTGTGGCATGTGTTTGGTCACATTGGAAACATTCAGAAAAATAATGCTTAATAAAGTAGCTAAATGAGATGTAATGTTTGTGGATGAGGTAATGTCTACATCTTCTGGAATGCGCCATCTGCATCACTGTCAAGAAATGCTAGAAAGTACTGCCTTGTGGATCATCATTCTCATGGTTTCTCTCTTCAATGCTACAAATTTAAAAGTGCCTTCATCTGCTTTGAAATTTGAGCAGGAAATAGTGTATGAAAAGAACATCCTCGCTCTGGATTTGGCCTGGAATGACCTTTTTAACATAAACCTTTAGGTGCTGCTGTGTATAGTGCCAGTTCTGTACTGGTCTAGCTTGATTTGACCATGGATAAGAAAGATGTGGAAGCTGTTCATGAGGTAGTCTCTTGTCCTCATCTTCAGAAAGCCTTCTGGACAATAAGTACTGCTTGTACTTCAAAAAGACTCTGCATTGTAGATCTGAGGAGGAGCAATGTTTGAGGCATGCTGTGGGAAGAGATCATTGTAATAAACCAGAACTTGGGAGTTTTTCTGTCCTTTTGGAAATGATGGATTGGAGAGCTCATGAGAATTTCAGGCACTTATGAAGAGGCAGCAGAAGCACTGTGCAGACAATAGTTCACGGAACCTGTAAGGAGGTAGTTGATCTATCTGGCCAGAGGGAAGAGTTCTGTGTCGCCACTGTGTTGCTCATTCTGTCATTCCAAAGGAATTCAAAGTTGCAGCCAGTAGAAGAGGCTGACTTGGATAGATTCTGCAAGAGTAAATTTGGATTTGATTTTTTGCTTTGCAAATGTTTACGGAAAAACGTATGTCCAATTTTTTGCTCCTTTCTGGGTGGGGGGAATGAAGGGGGTTAATTATTTCTCATTGTGAAATGGGACAAGCATAGACTAGTCTAAGCTTGCTTGTTGAAGATTAATTTCAGTCCTGCAGAAGGAGGTCAGGAGATAATGGTTTTGGAGCAGGGGTGGAGATTTTTCATTTAAAATACTTCTGCCGCCGAATTGGATCAATGTTAGCATGTCTGAGCAGCACAAAGAAATGTTAGAAGTACTCTATCATAGCAAATTATTAACCTTTAAGAACCACCTTAATTGCATGGTAGTCAAGTCGACATACTGATGTCTTGAAATGCACGTGCTTATCTGGACACAAGTGTGAATACTCCAACTCTAGCGGACATTCTGTGCAGTAGGCTGTTCTCATGATCTTTCGATTTTAAGTCCTGAGGACAAAATGGATAATTAAAGAGAGAATACCTTAGAGGAAACATCCAGGACAAGCCAAAGATTTAATTCCAGTGTAGACGTGCCAAGCCAGCTGGACTGTGTTAAGAGGTTGGAAGCAAGTACTACAATCCAAACAGTCTGAACTGTACTCAGTGCTGTAGAAGTTTGTCTTCCTCTGATCAACAGAAAGTGTTTCCAGTTCTTTAGGTAAAGAAGCAAGACAATACATAGAAGCTCAGCCTAATAAGAAATGATCTTCAGTTCTTGAATATATTTGGTGAAAGGAAGCCCACTTGATGTGCCATCAAGGAACATACAGAAATGGTGGAGTCACTGCAGCATCAACAGTAAAATGATCTATTGGAGAGGAAAGCCCTGTGTGGTGTTAGGTTGCAGTTCCATGCAAGTTTCTGTACCTGTTTCTTCACAATACTTGATTTCTGCCCCACTCCCAAAACTTCAAATTTCCTTCATCTTTTCTGTTGGAATATGGAACAGTTTGCAGGACATTTCTCAATAATTGTTTGGTTAAGGTTCCCTGGCTCACCTTACAAAGCTGTATCAATTGTTCATTCCACTTACAGGAGTATTTATGATTGCCAATCTATTATTATCCTTAAATGACTCGTATCCTAAATGACTTTCCTACTTTTTAGCTCCAAGGTGACTGCACTTTATGGTGCCCGTATCATACTAAAAAGGCTACTGTAACACTCTGAATCAAGGTTATAAACACCAAGTAATGAGTGTTTGTGTTGACAGCTGGTGCTCTGGGCTCATTGGAAAAAATTCCTTACTCTGAGATGACTTGTCTGAGTTTTACCTGTTCAGTGAGATGAGACCTTTCTTCTTTGACCTAAGAACGTATAAAATGAAGTTGTCCCCTCTGCTTTAAAACAGGACAAACTGGCAAATATCTCTTCCTGGTTAAGAGAAGGAAAGAAAGAATCTTCTTGGACCTAATGAAAGGTCTTTTTGGAACTTAGGTATAGCTTTTTAAGACTGCTTGCATAAAGCAGTTTCAAAAGAAACCTGTGTTTTGCCTAGGTAAGATGCATAAGTGCAAAGCAGAAGGAAATAGGAGGAAAAATGATAAGGAAGACTGTACCTCCTACATAAAAAAGGAAAGAACTTTGACCTAGCATCCAGGTTTTCAGAACCGATGCTAGCAGAAGGGAATGGTGTTTGGTTTCCAAACTTGAAATAAGCTGTCAGGAATCTGCTGTGAAATTGAGGACAGCAGTGGTCATGATGGCAAAGCTTAAGGCTTCCACTGTTCCTGTTTTGAAAAGCATTACTGAGGCAGATGAATGATGATGTCAAAATAATGATACAAACTGAGAAGTTCCAGTGATGAGAGGTACTAATGCTCGCTCCTGGAATGTTTCAGCTTGTCATGCTGAAAGGCTTTTTGAGGAACCTTCCATAAGTAAAATACTTGAGTCAAAGCGAAGACCAGTATGGTTTTGCTAGTATTCTTTTCCTCACAATGGATCAAGTTGGACCTGTGGATATACACATAGGTTTTTGAAACAGTAGCTACAACTACATATGGTGGCAGAATACATGAGCTACTAAAGTGGATGATTTCAGAGAGGACTAGATTTCACTGGAGAACAAAAAAGATTCAGTACCTCAGTAAACAACTATCAGCAGTTCAGAATAAGCCATTACTGGCAGTCATGTTCTTGTTCATTTATTGCAGCAAAGAAGTGCAATAAACAACACTTCCTGCGTGTATAATTCATTAGTTGTCATAGCAGAGTTAATATTTAACTGCTAAAAAAGGCAAATAAACCATGTTTGCCAGGATAGATGCGCAGTAACCTAACTTCAGTAGAGCTTGTGATCTTAGCTCTGCTATAATTACCAAATTTGTGGTGCCTGGAAGTTTATACGGAAATTTGATTAATTAGGTTGAGTTACTTAGTATGTCTTACCACTTGCTCACATTTGAGGTATAATAGTCGGCTGCAGAGTTCTTGTTATTGCAGGTCTATATTCCAGAAAAAGCTTTCACTTTTTTCCAACACCCCCCCCCCCCCAAGCCCCTCAAACAAACAAAAAAAAAAACCCACAAAGCACCTCCACTCTGGAAAAGCAAGTAATAGAGTAAATTGTGACAGTCACCTTTTTTTGAAAACCCAGCTTGAAACAGTAGAAAAGAGGGGTGAATTATCATGCTCAGTCTGCTTTGTAGATGCTGAAATTACTTCTAAACACTTCAGTCATCACCGTTTTATCAGGACATCAAGAAAATGTACTAAACGGCCTCCCCATTGCCAGAAACCCCAACTGAAGCTAAGATACCTTCAGCTTAGTCCTGTAACTACGGGTGCAGTCCTAGTTTGGCACAAAAGTCTGTGGCAATTGAAAGTAAATTGGAGATCATAAATCGTGTTTCATTTACAGAATAAATGACATGGGGCTGCCGTAATCATTGGACACTTGTGTTTTCACTGAAAGTCCTTTCTGATGCTGCTCTGTATTTTTTTTTTCATCAATACCACAAGAATGAAGTACTGTAGAAATTAGGCCCACCATGCTGCTGAGTACATGGGGACTAATACTGAAGACTGAAATCAGTCCTAGAGTTGCTCTAACTTTATGAAATGGAAGCCCTATAATAGTGAAGCAAGAGGGGCTTAATTTAAGAAATACAAACATGACTGAGCAGTAAGTAAAGCAGCTTCTTCTTTAGTCATTAGATGGGAAAGCAATTAAAGTGGAACAAGCAACCAAGCCATCCTTTGAAAGTGGTGGTAGGCGTGGGCCGCCACCCCCTCCACGAAGCAGAGGTCCTCCCAGGGGCCTTAGAGGTGGAAGAGGCGGAAGTGGCGCGAGAGGACCACCTTCAAGAGGGAGTCATTTGGGTATGTATTTACCTCTCTCATTATATACTTGGACAACATACAAGACAATCCCATTGGAAGATGACAATAATCCTACTGGAAAAAAAAGTCAAACAGCTGAATAGTGCACTCCTTGTTCTTTATTAAAATGATGAAATATGATCTCGGCAGTTTAGTCAAATTTTTGATTAGGCAAGTACACCTTAAGAAAAGGCTTTCAAATATGAAGATTCCCTTCTACAACTAACACTCCACTTGACTTTTGGCTGTGAAAGAAAAGCAAAACTCCTGCCCTGCACGTGAGAAAGGAAGCTTTCTGGTATTCAAGTTGAAAAAGCGATTCTCTTCCACCAGGGAAAGGGAACTGCCTTTCATTCTTACTAGCAAGAGGTCTAAACTTACTAAATTGTAGGACTGATCCTTCCAGATCGTAGTGGAAGTTAGGGAAGCTAAGCCTTGTTTGTTGTTACAAAATAGTAGTGTGTTGAGGTTGAAGCTTTCTGAAGTGGAAGGATAGTATGTTACTTGATACTGGATATTCTTTAACTTTAAGATACAGCTATTTATTCAGACTTTTCAGTATCAAAACAAAATTGTTGCTTAAAACAAAAAGCAAGCAGCACCTGAGGTAAACCAGTAAAAGCTGTAGTACAGACACCACCCCCCCTGGAAATAGTGAAAACTCCTGTCTTTAAGAGTCTGTGTAGTAGGTTCTACAGACTCTCTAGTGTCTCTGTTCCCTCTCTGTAGGATCTTCTCTAGTACATCTTCCCAGGTGGCTCTTGTCTTCTGAGAACAGTAACTTGTTGAGCATTTAAGCTGTGACTGATTATGGATATCAGCTGTCTTTCTCCCTTATGTCACACCCTGTGGCTTTTGGATAAGTTCTAAAAGACAGTTCTTGACAGGAATTTAGGCTATGGAAAAGTTAACTTGGTGGGCTCTCAATTCTGCCAATAGCATCTAGTAGTGGCCAAAACACAAGAGAAGGCTTTGAGATCTAATTTTAGAGGTTTACTGTTGATCACATAATGGTAATAACAGCACTTAGGTTACTGTATAGTTCAGGTGTTAGGGGCATACAGGTGAACATCACAGAAATAACAAGTTGGTTCATGGCTTATCCTTCTAGGGTCTTCTCGAGGGCCACTTCCCATGAAGAGAGGTCCACCTCCACGAAGTGGAGGCCCTCCACCTAAAAGATCTGCACCTTCAGGACCTGTACGTAGCAGTAGTATGGGAGGAAGAGGTAAGGACTTCCTGAATAACTTTGTTGCTTAGTTAGCTGTAGCACCTTAAGTCTGCCTTCAGGAGCTGTTGCAAATCATTGATTCTAACTTAAATCTGCTGTGGGATAGTGTATTGTTTTCCTAATCTATTGGTTCCCTTCATACCAGTATCATTTTGTAGGTGTTTTGAACAATTTGGTGTGATTTGTTGAGTATGTTCCTTCTAGTGCTGCTTTAAAACTGTACAAGCAGAAATGTAAAGTACTGTAAGTGTAGGCTACAGAGATATGTTTAAATCACTATAAACTGTCTGCTAATATTTACTTGCCTTGAGGAGTCATCTGTGCAGCTAAGTGCTAATTAAATTTAAAAATTTGGACTGTTTCTCTTCAGCTCCTGTGTCACGTGGAAGAGACAGTTACGGTGGTCCTCCACGCAGAGAACCAATGCCATCACGAAGAGATGTCTACATGTCTCCAAGAGATGATGGCTATAGCACTAAAGACGGGTAAATTCTTCTACTAATTTAATTTGGCCTTTGGCTTTTTTTAACGTTTGCAGAAGTTTTGATCCCCAGTCTTTTGAGATGTGACATATAGCTAACATCTCAATTCTTGTTCTTTGTAGTTACTCAAGCAGAGATTATCCCAGTTCCAGGGATACACGAGACTATGCGCCACCTCCACGAGACTACGCGTATCGTGATTATGGTCATTCCAGTTCACGTGATGAATACCCCTCTAGGGGATATAGGTACCTACTGTTGGATTTTTCTCCCTGTCTTTTTATTCTTGCTGTGATCCCACTGATTTGTACTAAGTCTTAGTAGTCTTTCCTCCTATAGCGATCGTGATGGATACGGTGGTGGACGCGACAGAGACTACTCGGATCATCCAAGTGGAGGCTCCTACAGAGATTCCTATGAGAGTTATGGTAAGAATCCCTTTTGAGGATCATGTAGTGATTTGTACAGGTGTCACAAAACCTGACTTTTACTAGGTTGCTCGTGTTTTAGGGGGAAGTGGCACGCTTTTTTTTCCCCTCACAGTGAAAGTGCAGTTGTTGGTTATCATTTGATCATCTTGTTAAATAAGCTGTAAGCTAAAGAAGCAAAGTCTACAGTTCAGAATTGCAACTATCTCTGGAAAATATGGCTGAGTTTCTTCTCTAAAATTACAAGCTGTTCTGGAATACCCAGTAAAGAGCCTGCCTGAATAAACACCGTCTTCATTCCTTCAGAGTCTTTAAATCCACTCACTGCCTGATATGCCATCCCTACTTTAAATACCATTAACGTGGCAGATTATATTAAGAACATCTCAATACATACAAAAGAGTAGCAGTAAACATTTAATACAGCAATTCTGTAAATTCAGATTGAAATTGTTATATATAACTTATGGTGTTGCCATATTACCTGACCATTGACCCTGCAGGTAACTCACGTAGTGCTCCACCTGCACGAGGGCCCCCGCCATCTTATGGTGGAAGCAGTCGATATGATGATTACGGCAGCACACGAGATGGATATGGAAGCCGAGAAAGTTACTCAAGCAGCAGAAGTGATGTCTACTCAAGTGGCCGTGATCGTGTTGGAAGACAAGACAGGGGTCTTCCCCCATCCATGGAAAGGGGCTATCCACCTCCTCGTGATTCTTACAGTAGTTCAAGCCGCGGAGCACCCAGAGGTGGTGGCCGTGGTGGAAGCAGATCCGATAGAGGTGGAGGCAGAAGCAGATACTAAAAACACTCTTAAACTTTTGGACCAAGACAGACTACTTCTCAAAAAAAAAAAAAAAAACCCGAAAAGTGGAAGTTGTTCTATCTTTACTACCAGAGGACTACTAAAAGGAAAAGTTGTTTTTACCTTTTTTTATTGTTGCGTGTTAAGTTTTTCCCTCCATGACTTTTAATGCTTTTGTGAGGAAAAGTTAAACCAATGTTTAATTTCATTTCAAAATTGTTAACATTTCTTTCAAAAAGCAGATGTTAAATGTATAAAACTTGAGCTGTGTACTAGTGTTGTAATTTTCAAAGTAAAGTTTCCCTGAAATGCCACACTTACCATCTGATTTTCCTCATGAATGGAACAAGCAGTTAAGATCTTCCACACAACATCCAGCCATCTAACATGGAGATGGATTGTTCTACATGTTCAGCATCTCATTCTTAAACAAAGTTTTGCTTGTGATTTGGAGGGTGGTGGGGATATTCTACACAAAGTTCAGTTTTGCCTAGAATTTGAAGTCACGGTGTTCCCAGTACAAAATGTCTTCAGATCCTTGTGTAAAGAAAAATAGAGGATATCATTCACTTAACCCAAAAAAGCAAGTGGATAATACTATTTTCTGCCTTCCTACTGTTACATGGGGAGTTTGAAAAGATGTCCCCTCCAAATAAATCATGTACATGTAAGTCAGCTACAGAATACTGTAAAAATAAAAAAAAAAAAATGACCAATTCCATCAAAGAAGCTGCAAAACGATGCTTACTCATACTGTTTCAAATTTTTGCAACTCTGTAGTGTTTCACTTTTAAAGGAACATCTTTGATTCCAAAGGAGAAAATAAGATAAGCAAAGAAGTCTTTCTCTCCAACTTCTCAAAGGCTTATGGCTTCATAAAAACAAGTGAATCTTTCAGCATTCCACAGCTGATTTAAAGCATCAAATGCCTGTGAAACAGCAAAGATGGTAAGCAAAGCAAACTAGTTTTTCAGTCTAAGTCAAAATTGAACCAAGTTATCTTCCTCTAGTACAGTAAAACAAACTGCACGTTATGGCAATGGAAGTGCTGTCTAGATTTAAAAAAAAAAAAAAAAGGAAAAGAAATACTTCAATACATTAGAAGTTCTCCAAATTCAACATCTCTTCTTGGATAAAAGCATTTATGGCACCAATTTTGAAACTAAAGACATAATGCAGCTCACTGTAGACAAGAGTATTGCCAAGTAGGGTTGGGAGGGGGTATTTTGTGCCCAGTATCTTTCAGTGAAGATGCTTAAAAAGGCTGCATATACTATATTAAAATTAAAGCCTTGTGAAATCAGGAATTGGTTTAGATTGACAAATATCAGCTCGGCTATTGGGAGTTTGAAGCAAGCCATTGCAAACTTGACGTTTAGTTGGATGCCTGACTCTGTTTAGTTTGACACTGCGTTACAGGGATATCTAGTACATGTGGCAGAACCTGTGGCAAGTTGTTATGACTCAGGTAAAGCCATGAAGTTCAAAAGATGCTCTTGAATATAGTAGACATGAAGACCTCCAACTAAAAAAAAAAAAAAAAAAAGGCACAAACCCAAAAGCTTTGTACTACTGTTTAGTCCTCAGTAAATTTTTTCATTCAACTTATGGATTTAACATGGCAGTGCAACATTGAAAAGGAATGAGAATCCATAAGCCATGCAACCTATCACTAAGCCATTCCAGTCCATTCCAAGCCAGTGAATCTTCCACCACTTAAAAGAGAAGTAGTAAAACTTGCAACAGAATAATCTGCAAACCCAAGCTTGTGACTTTTTTGAAATGGGGGGAAGCACTATAGGTTGGCTCATGCTGTAAAATATACTTTTCTCAATTTTTTCTATCTTCTCTTCATTGCAGGGTGATAACTTCTAGAAGATGCCACTGAAGTAATGCTGGTTCATCTGTGTTGATGGCAGAGATGAGTGGTGCCTGTACCAATACATAAGGTAAATGCTATCCTAGTGTAATAGCTAGAAGGAGGATTTCTGGTGGTTCTGTGTTTATAGATTCAGATGGACGTTCTTGGTGGATAAATATTTTCAACTTCCTGTTTGAATTTTGAAGGAGGAGGTTTAAGTAGGCTTTTTAAACCTACCAAATTAGGAACAACAGTGAGAGACTTCTCACGTGCAGAAATTGGTCCAATTTGGGTATGGCTGAGCATAAAATATGATTATAAATGCACTTTAAATCATGCTGCAGAGAGTACTTAGTCTAGGAATCTTCGTAAGACCAGACCATAAAAACCTAAATTGGAATAATAAATGTCAGTACAGACATTTAATCGGTCTTGCTAAATGTGCAGAACATGCAATTTAATGATTATACTGAGTATAATCTTTGATTAGGAATTAATCTCCAGAATGGTTTAAAACTTCGCAGGTCAGGCTGTGTTTCATGACTTTGAAACATACCCTATCAAAATTATTTTTTAAGTAGAGGTGGGAGCAACTGTCTTCAGACTTTATGTGGAAGGGTGACTGTCTCTTTCTCTGATAACAGGAAAAAGAGAAAGTGGTAGTGGCTGTCATGCTAATACAGCTTTTTGGAAAACTCTTCTACGAAGTAATTGTTATTTAGGAAAAAAAAGGAAATAACTTTTTAACAAGCAAAATCTGTTAAAATCTAGTACAGAGCAAAGGATAAGGAGAAATCCCCTTTTCTAAGAGAAGTATCTATGTAAGAAGTGTGTGTACTACTTACATAATTTTTTAGTTAGTTTTCAAAGTGCTCTGTAAATGTAAGAACATATTTTGCTATTGGTTTCAAGTACGGCTTTTGGGAACCAGCTTTGAAATGGTGAAAAGAAAAAGCTGTAGTTGGTACAGTGTTGTTCATCTGACACATGGTCACCGATTTCAGGGAAGGTCCATTTTGTGTGAGGGATAGGTTCTGTTGCATACCGTGTCTTGTTTGTAATCTTAGTTGGTTTTACAGTTCATTCTTTCTAGAGTCTCAGCAACAGCAATGCTTTTGTCAGAATAAGCCAGTAATATTTTGTAAATACTGATAAATTGCTACTGTTACCTTGATGGAAAAAACCCACGCTTTTATTTCAGGGTACTGGATTATATTTCAGATCAAATACAGAAGCATCACAAGTATTATCTGTTCTGAGTCAAAGGAAGCATATAGTTAAATGAAATAAAAGCTGCTACCTGACCAACTTTTTATTTTTCTGTCACTTGATAAAATTTCAACTGTTACTTTCCTTATCTTCACATTCCTCTTAAGCGTGACTGTTGAAATATTTAAATCACAAACCCTACGGAAAAGGACCCCGTTTGAACTGTAGGTGTCTTTTTAAAGATTAAAAAACTTAACCTTTTTTCATTCAAAAATCACTGATGTCAGTAGCATGGCACCAAGGTGGATTAGGGAAGTATGTCTAAATGTAAGCTCTTCTCCCTTGCTCCCCCACCAACCTGCAAAAAATTAGCAGGAGTCAGTTTTTAAATTCTCAGTTTGAGGCTGATCCAGATCGTGAATCCTCTAATAAAGAGATGGAGTACTGTCTTTAATATGCAGCATCCTGGGTGACTTTAAAAGGTTTTGCCAAATCATCATAGAGGTTCTGTCAGAATGTTTACAGGTTTTTTTATATGTATGTGCTGTGTTAGCTTCAATTTTCTGAATTAGCTGGGAAGCTGAATGTTAATTACGCTTGGCAAATGAAAAAGCTTCTCTGTTTTGGGAGAATTAAGTGCTTTTTTTTCTCAATTCACTTAGATGTGTTTTGTCACCTTGGTGGTAGTGGACCATGTTGTTGTAATTAATAACGATATTAAAGATAAAAGCACACTTTCTCAGCCTACTCTGCAGCTTACAAACATTTCCAAATTCTTAATAGGCATGGTGACAATGTGAGTTTAGGGAGCACTAAATAGAACTTAACTGACTACATGGCAGGAAGGGTAATGCTAACTTCGTAAAAAATAAGGATGTAATTATACTAACTCAGCAAGCTGTTCACCTTTTCTTGATCACAAGTTTTCTTTAATTTATAGTACATCATTACATACAGATTAGTACCAGTGTGTATACCAGTTTATTACAGGGCTCCTGAGTACCATGCTGGGATGGTGAAGAGCTAGTGGCATTTTGTGGTAGGCAAGAGTTTGGAGGAGGACATGCACAGGAATTACAGAGGCTTCACTTAGTACTTGCTCTGGAGACTGTTGTACAAGAAGTCCACATTAATACAAGTAGTCCTCTGATTGTTTTGATTATTGTAATTAGCTATTGATGTATTTTCATACTGTAGGGACAAATTGAATACAATCCAAATGTATACATTGTGTATATAAAAACAGTCAACTCAAAGATGATTTAGCTTTTTTGTCTGTCTCGGTTTCTGAGAGTGTACTAACTTGCATTTCCTTTTTTCAGTTATGGTGACTAGAAGAAGGCAGTGCAGCAGTGGATATGCGTTGGAAAGTTGAAGGATAACAAAATGGAACTGATAAAGCTTGGCTTTAGAGTGTGGTATTATCCAGTATCTGTTTTAGAGGGTTGTGTTACCATTCAGGAATTGCCTTTGAAAGTAGCACTACTGATCTCTTGGATATAAAAAAAAATTCTCAGGTGGAAGTCAGTTTCTGTCTGCTGTAGCTAACACATTCCAAGAGTCAAGAGTGAGCCTTTTTTTAAGTCAGTATGTACATGCATCGGTAGATTTTGCAGCAGAAAAATACTCTGGGGTTGCCCTTTACATAGGGTGCTTTCTGTTTATGCTGAAAAAAAGAGCAAGTTATATAAAAGTGAGTTTTAATCCTCTAAAATACAGAGTAAACTGTTACAAATTATTCTTCATCAAGAAACCATGAAAAGTTTTACTGTATTCTTACATAAACAGTTTTATAATTGTCCAGGCCTTCTGCATGAGAGGAAGGAGGTGTTGATGTACTGAGATACTAGTGATAAATCCCCAGAATAATTAGTGTTCTTGTATGTACTAGCTTCATGGAAAACTTCAGATGGCACTGCATCTGTTGCAACAAGATGCTCTCTTCAAAACTTTGCCTTGGTTTTGATGCATTTTTGTGTTACATATATGTTGATGTGCCATTGTGTGAGAGAGGAATCTTCAGACACCAGTATTTCTTGTAGAAAACTAACTTGAGATTGACCAAAGTACTTAGAGTTACAGCTAATAAAGTTTATATTGACTTCTTCTGTGGTAAACATAAACCGATCTCATTTAAACAAGTAACACTCAGTTTAAATGAGTAGCTAAAGAAGAAAAAGCATGCATACCTTGTACAGGGATTTAAAACTACCTTTGTGTTTGGGGGTAAGAATATCACTCTAAAC